AACCTAATTCCTCAAGATAATTTATATTTCTGTCTAAGTATTTTAATCTTACTGGCATTTATCCTGAGTCAAATCTCATGGGTTACTGACAACAGTCTTTTAAGCATTTCTGAACATCCACACAACTGCTTGAGATTAGACTAATGTCATCTGTACAGTCCAAATCCTCTAGTCTAAATCCTTTAGTCTAAATCATTTACAGCCGGAGAAAGTGACCATCTGATAAGATAACTGTTTCTAGCTTCTTTAATCAGCCAGTCAATGACCAGGTTGAACTAAAACAGTGATAGCATGCATCCCACTTAACTCCTTTTTGACAAAGATACCTTATGTTGTATGAGCAATGCAATGTTAATTGTTTTTATCACGTTTACTATGTTTGATGGTATGTCATAGTGACATAAAATCGCCTATAGTGATTCCAAATACAGGCTTTCTATCCAAACCCCTTTCAAAAATTACGAATATTATATAAAGTGCACTATTACGTTTATTACTTTGCTCATTTATTTGACCCAGCATGCAAATATGATTTCAAATATCTAAATGCTGCCTGCTGTTGCGAAACAGTAATACCAAGTGCTTGAATCATTTTCTTAAAAATAATCTGGCTGAAGATTTCATTCGTTACCGATAGAAGTTATGATGCGTCTCCATTTATACTTTCCTATATCCCCTCTCTCTGGTAGTTAGGTGATGGTTATCCTTCCCCTCCCCCCCCCCCCTCCCTTTTCCGCAAAAAAAAAAAAAATTATGTGGAGTTTCATCACTGCTTCAGATTCTTGAAGTATACTGGTTATACTTGTGTGTGTACGTGTATGTGTACTTGCGTGTGCAGGTTTGTGTGCACGTATGTGTGTACCTGTACACTTGTGTCTATGTACACCTATGTCTGTGTACGTGTGTGTGTACGTGCGCGCATGTGCGTGCGCATGTGTGTGCGTGCGTGTGTATGCGTTTGTATGTTAACGCTGTGACAAAAATAATTACCTAAATGAGATTTACTACCTACCTCGTACTGTATTTGTAATGGGAAAAACTAACATGAGGATATTTCAGAAACGCAGTTCGCCTCTTTTATTCAGGCACAGGTGCTGTATTATTCATCGCAAATACGAACAACTATAGTAAGTGAGTACATTTTACCCCACCAGGACATCACACAGAGCGATAAACAACCGGTGAAATAAAGTGCCACCATGCGGATGAGGATCACCCTTGGAGAGGTATCGAAAACCGCGTATAACCGTTAGGCTATATTGCGGAGTCTGGCAACAGCCTGAGTGGTGCTTCAAAACAACGAAAAAAAATGCATCCCACAAATGGATGATAGGTGAACAAAACGAACAATTATCCGTATGTGAAATAATATAAGATGCTAAGGGTTCTAATTAGTTTCGTTTGAAAAAAATATGCATAAAAGAGCTAGAAAATACAACTTTGGCAATTTAAAAAGCTTTGAACAAATAATATTACAAGCAACACGAAGTTAATTTTTGTGCCAAAAAGCGAAAAATAAAAGATTAAGACAATTGTATTCTGTATGTGAACTAGAAAAACCATAATGGTTGATAAAAATGGACGTTCGTTCACAAATACCGGAAATCATTTCAGGGGAAATAACCATAGAAATATTAGCTTTTACTAAACTTTATATGTTTGTGCCCTAGCGTGTGTTATGTGTGTGCGTGTGTTTGTGTGTGTGTGTGCGCGCGCGTGTGTGCTTGCGCTCAGCGCGTGTTCATGTGTTCGTGTGCGCGCGCGTTTATGTGTGTGCGTGTATGTACTTATTAAAAATTTTGTTAAGAGATGGCTTTTTTTCTTCCGATAAAATTTAAGCACATAAAATTGACTATATGTCATAATAAGAATATTCGTAGTTTGTGTGATGCAATTTTTCGTTAATCTGAAGCCCCACCGTGGCTCTTGCCGGGGCCTCAATATAACTGACGGTTGAACGCGGTTTCCGGGACCTCTCTACGGGTGATCCTTATTCGCATGGTGGCACTTTGTATTCCCGGCTGTTTGTGATGTCCTAGTGGGGTAAATTTTACTTATTTACTTGATTTCAATTTGCTGTTTACAACTGCATACCAGGGAAAACAAATACTAGGGCAAACAAATACAGAGGAAAACAAATACCGGAGCAAACAAATACCGGGGTGAAAAATGTAAGAGCAAACAAATACCAAGGCAAACAAATATTAGGGCAAACAAATACCATAACTAACAAATACAGGGGCAAACAAATACCCGAGCAAACTAATACCAGGGCAAAACAAATACCAGAGCTAACAAATACATGGGCAAACAAATACCCGAGCAAACAAACACCAGGGCAAAACAAATACCATGGCAAACAAATACCAGCAAATTGCTGGCTAAGTAAAGAGGACCATCTTGATATGAACTACACGACGCACTGCGCTCCATACGTCTAAACACTGGCTCTAGCAGATATTAACCATCAAGGCTGAAGAGAGATACAAGAAAGAGTACAAATGGTAAACGCTGTCACCTACCAGTTAACCCCACTGATCAGACACCCATGCTTCCTTTCAGGTAAAACAGCAAATAATTAATAACATCTTCATCTCTACTTATGCTATCAGTGTTAGACATGAACTAGAACAGAAAATAACAAGATGTCAAATGCCCCGTCTACGTAAGGTCACTAACAACAGAGGAAGGCACACTTTACGAATACCAGCATTAGAGATATAGATAGATAGATAGATAGATAGATAGATAGATAGATAGATAGATAGATAGATAGATAGATAGATAGATAGATAGATAGATAGATAGATAGATAGATAGATAGATAGATAGATAGATAGATAGATAGATAGATAGATAGATAGATAGATAGATAGATAGATAGATAGATAGATAGATAGATAGATAGATAGATAGATAGATAGATAGATAGATAGATAGATAGATAGATAGATAGATAGATAGATAGATAGATAGATAGATAGATAGATAGATAGATAGATAGATAGATAGATAGATAGATAGATAGATAGATAGATAGATAGATAGATAGATAGATAGATAGATAGATAGATAGATAGATAGATAGATAGATAGATAGATAGATAGATAGATAGATAGATAGATAGATAGATAGAAAGATAGAAAGATAGAAAGATAGAAAGATAGATAGATAGATAGATAGACAGACAGACAGACAGACAGACAGACAGACAGACAGACAGACAGACAGACAGACAGACAGACAGACAGACAGACAGACAGACAGACAGACAGACAGACAGACAGACAGACAGACAGACAGACGACAGACAGACAGACAGACAGACAGACAGACAGACAGACAGACAGACAGACAGACAGACAGACAGACAGACAGACAGACAGACAGACAGACAGACAGACAGACAGACAGACAGACAGACAGACAGACAGACAGACAGACAGACAGACAGACAGACAGACAGACAGACAGACAGACAGACAGACAGACAGACAGACAGACAGACAGACAGACAGACAGACAGACAGACAGACAGACAGACAGACAGACAGACAGACAGACAGACAGACAGACAGACAGACAGACAGACAGACAGACAGACAGACAGACAGACAGACAGACAGACAGACAGACAGACAGACAGACAGACAGACAGACAGGACAGACAGACAGACAGACAGACAGACAGACAGACAGACAGACAGACAGACAGACAGACAGACAGACAGACAGACAGACAGACAGACAGACAGACAGACAGACAGACAGACAGACAGACAGACAGACAGACAGACAGACAGACAGACAGACAGACAGACAGACAGAGAGATAGAGATAGATAGATAGATAGATAGATAGATAGATAGATAGATAGATAGATAGATAGATAGATAGATAGATAGATAGATAGATAGATAGATAGATAGATAGATAGATAGATAGATAGATAGATAGATAGATAGATAGATAGATAGATAGATAGATAGATAGATAGATAGATAGATAGATAGATAGATAGATAGATAGATAGATAGATAGATAGATAGATAGATAGATAGATAGATAGATAGATAGATAGATAGATAGATAGATAGATAGATAGATAGATAGATAGATAGATAGATAGATAGATAGATAGATAGATAGATAGATAGATAGATAGATAGATAGATAGATAGATAGATAGATATAGATATAGATAGATATAGATAGATATAGATAGATATAGATAGAGAGACAGAGAGAGAGAGAGAGAGAGAGCGAGCGAGAGAGAGAGGGAGATAGTTGGAATAAGACCATGTCTGAATTATACTGACCAACTGGCTATGTCATGTAACAAGAATGGACCCAGATAAAACTGCACATGCCATTTTTTTTTTTTTTTTTTTTTTTTTTTTTTTTAATTTAATTTTTTTTTTCAAACAGCAGAGCATCTGGTAGGAAGGCGATGGGAAGACCAAGGACGAGATGGATAAATGGTGTAACTGAAATCTGCAAAAAGATAAACAAATCCATCACCTGAGCCACCTAAGAATCGTAAAACAGTACAGAAAACTATGAGACCTGGCTCAAGCTAGTATTGGTGAGGCGAGAACAGAAGAAGACAAAGGCTGAAGAGGCCATCCTCCGAAGAACGGGCACAAAAGATGGCGGCCGCAAAAAACATCCCAACAGAGCATCAGTCACGTGTCAATTGCGTACTTCCGGCGATTTAATTTGCGGTTTTCCGGCGACTACCGCCACATTGTTCCAAGGCCACCTGGCTCAATGTCTACCAATGAGAAGTGAGCTACTGTGTATATGTGCGGTCTGTGGGGAGACTAACGTTAGTTTTACCCAAAAAAGGTTATATAAGTTCCTGATACATGGTATTCTACATTGATAGGTAACCCTCACCTAAATCAGCTCACAAAATCTGTAATCGTAACCACTTACCAAAGCAGTAATCGCCACCTAAAGAGGCGGATTTTACATAAGAGCTAAGACTCAAACTCACCGAACATGACAAAGAAAAGGCCTCCAATTACGGGTTCCGGTATTGTGACAAACAAAGCTCCAAACTTGCCAAGACATCCAAGAATTATCATAATAATTCCAGCTATTTGTATCACAACCCGACTTCCAACCTGTTTAAATAGTACATCGATGTAAGAAAGAATTTAATTAAATAATACCCTTTTAATATAGTATTATATACAAATTGCATTTTAACTAGTGTAATCTCATTTTTAACCTAAAATATACGTCTTAAATAATTATCAACAGTACAAAAGTATATGTAAAATAATTGTAATTTCACACAGTGGCATGTGTTGGCATTGATATCAGACCATATTCATTTTAGACAATTCGGCACTAGCTTGGTGATGACATCAGCATCACACCCGTTATTTGTAACACGCAGAGTGCTTCCAAAAGAATGATTAGAATACATTGGACAGCCAAAAAGAGCAACCAAGAGGTTTTGAAAGAGGCGGGAGCCCGAAGACAACTTATCACAGACATCATTTTTCGGCCATGTTATGAGAAGAGCGAAAAAAATACATGTTGTGACCACTGGGAAGATCTGTGGAAGGAGGGATAGAGGAAGACAACGAGAGAAGATGCTTGACAGTCTTGTTGCATGGCATGGAGGTGTGTCAGCGCACGAACTGATACAGGCTGCAGGAGATCGCAGATTATGGAGAGGCATGATCGCCCACACAAACCAAGAAACTTTAGACAGTATGGGCTCTCCTGTCAAATCCGGACGAAGAATAAAAAGCCTTGGACGACTTAGTCAGAGTTCTCTCCCTTGGCCGCACTGCGAACAGTGATCGGAAAAGCCAACGAAACAAACGACACACTTACCTATCATCATACGGTTGCGTGTAGGGCTGCGTACAGTTGCATGAGATATCGTAAAGGGATGCGTAGTCATCATACGGTTGCGTGCAGGGGTGCGTACGGTTGCGTGAGGCATCGTGAAGGGATGCGTAGTCATCATACGGTTGCGTGCAGGGGTGCGAACGGTTGCGTGAGGCATCGTGAAGGGATGCGTAGTCATCATACGGTTGCGTGTAATGATGCGTAGTGTTTGGGTTTGAGTTAGGGGTAGGGTTAGAGTTAGGGGTAGGGTTAGGGTTAGGGTTTAGAGTTAGGGGTAGGGTTAGGGTTAGGGTTAGTGTTGGGGTTAGGGTTAGGGGTAGGGTTAGGGTTAGATGTGAAAATTTTGACGTAGGATTAGGGTTAGGGGTAGGGTTAGGGTTAGGGTTGGGGTTAGGGGTAGGGTTAGGGTTAGATGTAAAAATTTTGACGTAGGATTTCGAAATACTGGCCGACAATCTGATGTTTGTGGGAGTGGCGCCACTGAAACTCTGCCAATAGCGTGCGGCTGGTGCCCCCAATCGTTGGCGAAATGTGCGTTTGACCAGCATCCAGAGGCCCTCGATTGTTTGTGTGTGTATGGGACTGTGCGCGATTATAGGGAACTCCAGCGTCAAAATTGTCAAATCTAACGCTAAACTTAACCCTACCGCTAACCCTAATCCTAATCCTTCTCCTAGCCCTAACCCCTACCCCTAACCACGCAAATTTATCGATCATTAAAGCATACAAATCGGCAAAAACCAACAAACACAACACACCCAAAAAAAAAAACAGATTTGTCCTGCAGCGTCGAAAAAAAAACCAGATCTGGGGGAAACAACCAAGCATTGGCAGCCCTGATGTCGACGTGACTGTCTTCTTTGTTTCGTTGCCTTTTCCGATCACTGTTCGCAGTGCGGCCAAGGGAGAGAACTCTGACTAAGTCGTCCAAGGCTTTTTAGTCTTCGTCTGGATTTGACAGGAGTACCGACAGTATGATAACCAAGAGAAGATGGAAATGGCATGGCCACGTTATGAGAATGACTTCCGATATACCTGCCAAACCAGCTGCCAAAGAGGACAAGTTGAATTGATTTGAGTGGAGTCAAGAATTGACATCACAGCACTCATGGCATTCTCAGGCATGCTTAGTCCTCATCTTAGCAGCCAGCGCAGTATTACAATATTGATGGTACCGGTCACAATCTAGGTAAATGTCCGTCTTGTCTTTCCTCTGATTGTGTGAGCCGATCAGACCCTCTGGTTTCACCCAGGTGCCTCATTCTCTCCAGAGAAAAGTGTTAGGGGACAGTGGTGTAAAGATCACACAGTGTATTACAAACGAAACGAAGAAGCCACAGAACCAGCAATCGAACCAATTCCCATATTAGAAGCAAGAGGGATTTTTTTTTTTAACCCAAGAAATACGTATACAGTTGACCAACGTGATTAGGTCTTTCTCATCCTCTACCATTTACCTGTGCCAACAAAGGTAAAGTTATAATGTATAATTTACATTAAATATTTTTTCTACACACAAATTTATCGTAATTATTTAAAAATAAAATTGTCTCTGGAATGGGAGAACGGATAAATTGAATTTGTTTTGGGGAAAATGTTTTGGATCAGGAATTTCAGTGAAGTCATAA